TAGATGTAACTGGTGCCAAAAATGCTTCTACTAAGTATTGACTCATAATGAAACCAACAATAGACAAATACTTTTGTTTACTTAACTGTCGTGACTAATGAAAACAGGTGCAGGGCCTTGCTCATTGCCCCTTCATAGTGTTAAGTAGTAGCAGCAATAAATTTTATTGTTGCAACCAGAGGTCATAACAAGAACAATAAAAAACCAGCATCCAAAAGTACATACCAAGTACGGCCAAGCTGAATGTAGAAAATACATAAAACAGTTACAACCCCAACTGATCAACAAAATACTAAAAAGAGCCTAAAATAATTTTTGGGCAGATATCAAAATGAATTAATGAATAACATGTTCTAATTTTGAAAGATAACATAATAAAAATTGCTCCTTAATAATTAACATGAGGAAATAGATCTGCTGCCATAATATTAATAGTGATAATGTACTGAACTTCTGAATCCAATTAGTTATCTGTAAATCAATGCACATGGTTAAGTATTTTGTGGAGGTCAAGTGGTAACAATGCCAATTAAATCAATTTCAGTTCCAGGCTGTAAATTAGCAACAAAATGTGGTAAATAAAAGCAGGCTGAATACTTCTGCAAGGCACTATATGAATGAAGAAACGCCTCTCTTTCACCTCCTCCCATATTAACCAATTTGCACTCATTTTCTGTGTTCTTCCTTGTTGTTGAGGAAGATAAATATGACCTCTTCAGTGGTACTGTCTAAACTAAAAAAATAACTTCCCAAAAGAGGTCATCAGAATCCTCTTTGCCAACTATTAATCATGCTCTTACCACCAAAGTTTATGCATATTTATTCAGAAGTAAATATCACTTTGTTGAGTGGATCTTGATCTCAGTGAATCGTTTATAAGATTGCAGCTGAAGGCCATTTTATTCTAGTGTGCATTTTTTAGTTAGTCTAGTGCATTTTTTAGTTGAGTAATTTTTTGGGGCTGTAGCTGTATGTTTTTATGATGCTATTTTATGGCCATTTTATAGTTATATTTTTAACGTTATTGTAATTTATATGTTTATCATCACTTGAATTAGATCTTATTACTAAACAAATGCCCTGGCACAACTTCACCACCTCAGGGAGTACTAGGTGCTGTTGTTGTTCTTAGTTGCGAAGTCGTGCCCAACTCATTGCGACCCCATGAACAGCATTCCTCCAGGACTTCCTGTCTTCCACCATCCCCCGGAGTCCACTTAAGCTCACACCAACTGCTTCAGTGACTCCATCTAGCCACCTCATTCTCTGCCGTCCCCTTCTTCTTTTGCCATCTATTGTTCCCAGCATTAGGCTCTTCTCCAGGGAGTCCTTCCTTCTCATTAGGTGGCCAAAGTATTTGAGTTTCATCTTCAGCATCCGGCCTTCAAAGAGCAGTCAGGGTTGATCTCCTGTAGGACTGGCCCATTTGATCGCCGTGCGGTCCAGGGGACTCACGGGAGTCTCCTCCAGAACCACAATTCAAAGCCATCAATCCTTCAGCGCTCAGCCTTCCTTATGGTCCTGCTATCACAGCCATACATGGCAACTGGGAAAACCATAGCCTTGACTATATGCACTTTTGTTGGCAGAATGATAGCACTGCTTTTTAGTATGCTGTCTAGATTTGCCATAGCTTTCCTCCCCAGGAGCAAGCATCTTTTAATTTCTTGGCTGCAGTCCCCATCTGCAGTGATCTTGGAGCCCAGGAAAATAAAATCTGTCACTACCTCCATTTCTTCCCCATCTATTTGCCAGGAAGTGAGAGGACCAGATGCCATGATCTTAGTTTTCTTATTGCTGAGTTTCAAGCCAACTTTTGCACTCTCCTCCTTCACCCACATCAAGAGGCTCTTTAGTTCCTCTTCACTTTCTGCCATGAGCGTGGTATCATCTGCTTATCTGAGATTGTTGATATTTCTCCCAGCAATCTTAATTCCAACTGGTGATTCATCCAGCCCCACCTTTCTCATGATGTGCTCTGCATATAAGTTAAATAGGCAGGGCGACAGTATACAGCCTTGCTGAACTCCTTTCTCAATTTTGAACCAATCAGTGGTTCTGTGTCCAGTTCTCACTATTGCTTCATGACCTGCATATAGGTTTCTCAAGAGACAAATAAGATGGTCTGGTACTCTCATCTCTTCAAGAACTTGCCACAATTTTTTGTGATCCACACAATCAAAGGCTTTAGCATAGTCAATGAAGCAGAAGTAGATGTTTTTCTGGAACTCCCTAGCTTTCTCCATGATCCAGCGTATGTTGGCAATTTGATCTCTAGTTCCTCTGCCTCTTCGAAATCCTGCCTGTACTTCTAGTAGTTCTCGGTCCACATACTGCTGGAGACTAGCTTGTAGGGTTTTCAGCATAACTTCGCTAGCATGTGAAATGAGTGCAATGGTGCGGTAGTTTGAACATTCTTTGGCAAAGCCCTTCTTTGGGATCGGAATGTAAACTGACCTTTCCCAATCCTGCAGCCACTGTTGAGTTTTCCAAGTTTGCTGGCATATTGAGGGAAGCACTTTTTACTGCATCATCTTTTAGGATTTTGAATAGCTCAGCTGGAATACCATCGCCTCCATGAGATGTGTTGTTGCTCAGACTTCCTAAGGCCCATTTGACTTCCCATTCCAGGATGTCTGGCTTGAGGTCAGTGACCACCCCATCGTGGTTATTAGCAACATTAAGGTCTTTCTTGTATAGCTCTTCTGTGTAATCTTGCCACCTCTTCTTAGTCTCTTCTGCCTCTGTTAGGTCCCTGCCATTTTGGTCCTTTATCATGCCCATCTTTGCATGAAACGTTCCCTTCATATCTCGAATTTTCTTGAAGAGATCTCTGGTCCTCCCTATTCTATTGTTTTCTTCTATTTCTTTGCACTGTTCATTTAGGAAGGCATTCTTTTCTCTTCTAGCTATTCTCTGGAATTCTGCATTCACTTGGGTGTATCTTTCTCTTTCTTCCTTGCCTTTCGCTTTCCTTCTTTCCTCAGCTATTTGTAAAGCTTCCTCAGACAGCCATTTTGCTTTCTTGCATTTTTTTCTTTGGGATGGCTTTAGTTTCTACCTCTTGTACAATGTTGCAAACCTCTGTCCATAGTTCTTCAGGCACTCTGGCTATCAGATCTAATTCCTTAAATCTATTTGTCACCTCTACTGTATATTCATCAGGGATATGATTTAGGTCATGCTTGAGTGGTGGCCCAGTGCTTTTCCCTACTATCTTCAATTTAAGCCTAAATTTTGCAACAAGAAGCTCATGACCTGAGCCATGGTCAGCTCCTGGTCTAGTTTTTACTGAGCTTCTCCATCTTTGGCTGCAGAGCACATAGTCAATCTGATTTCTGTGTTGACTGTCTGGTGAGGTCCATGGGTACAGTTGTCTCTTGGGTTGTTGGAAAAGAGTGTTTGCTATGACCATCGTATTCTCTTGACAAAATTCTACCAGCCTGTGCCCTGCTTCATTTTGTACTCCCAGGCCAAACGTGCCTGTTAATCCGGTTATCTTTTGCCTTCCTACTTTTGCATTCCAATCGCCCATGATGATAAGGACATCATTTTTTGGTGTTAATTCTAGAAGGTGTTCTAGGCTTTCATAGAATTGGTCAGCTTTAGCCTCTTCAGCACCAGTGGTTGGGCATAGACTTGGACTACTGTGATGTTGAATGGTTTGCCTTGGATTCGAACTGAGATCATTTTGTCATTTTGGAGATTGTATCCCAGTACTGCTTTTCCTACTCTTTTACTATGAAGGCTACTCCATTTCTTCTTAGGGATTCTTGCCCGCAGTAGTATACCTGATGGTCATCTGAATTAAATTCACCCATTCCTGTCCATTTTAGTTCACTGGTTCCTAAGATGTCGATGTTCAGTCTTGTCATCTCTTGTTTGACTAGGTGCTAGACTCAGTAATAAACCATTAGCTTCCACCTGTCCTGCCTTTTTCCTTTCCTCAAGGACTTGATTTCTGGGCATCTTATTTGCGGTGCCTATATCTGCTAACATTATCGTCCTGTCTGGAAAGCACTTCCATACCAAACTGAATGGGTGGGCGGGGAGCCACCATTCTGACTTTCCACAGGAAATTAAAATGCTAACTTGTGTATCCAACCATCTTTTTCACAGGGCAGCTATTAGGGGATGCAATAGGATGCTAGGCTGGCTCCCCAAAGATGTCCCTTTTGTCAGAGAGTTAGGGATTTAAGGTATGATTTCCCTATCAGATGGATGTCTATTTCTGGACATGTATGAACCCAAGAAAAGCCATGCTAGGTCAGACCAAGGGTCTGTCAAGTCTCATGGCCTGATCAGGTTTGCTGTGGTAAACCCACAGGTAGGTTATGCATGCAATGACAACCTTCCACGCTGCTCTGCAGCGAAGGGCACCCATAACGATCATCAATCCGGATAGCAGCTGCTACTCTAGCACAGGGCACAAGTGAACCAGACTTTCCTTTCACCCAGTCTTCTCCAACCTGGCGCCCTTCATACGCACTGCGCTACAATTGCTAGAGCAAGGTGGCTGGAGACGAGGGGGCAACGCGTCTGGCGGCATCAAGCTGGCCCGAAAGGGAACAAGAAAGAGCGACTAGGATCACGCTGCCCGTCCTAGAACCGCACAGCCTGCGAGAGCCCTTATAACCTACCACAACAAAATGTTGAAACAGAACGTGGGGAAGTGGCGTTGCCCCCACCCCCGAGCTTAATCGGGCTGGGGGCCGAGGCGTGGGGGGGGGGGGAGAGAGACAGCTTCGCGGCTTTCTCCCCAGAGGACAGACGCAGAAAAGGACTGCCGTGACGACTTCTAATGGCCCTGAGCAACCGCACACACATTCCTTCTCCGTTCCTGTCCTGTTCAAGGGCTTCGTCCCAAGGCAGTCGCGCTCACCTAACCCCGCATAGCGGGCGGAGAGAGAACGGCAGTGTCACGGACAGCACCTTGAAGGCCGCACCGGCGCAGGAAGACATTGCTACGGCGACGCCGGCCGAAGGGGAAGCGGTCCTACCTGGGCCAATGAGAGCGGGAGGAAACCCGTTCGCGCAAGGGGAGGGAGGCGGGTCGGCAGCACAGCTGGGCAGGAGGGGGAGTCCAGCCCCAGGGGAGGAGCCGCGGCATCCGGGCGAAGTGCCAGGACTCTGTTCGCCTGGTCGCTGCGCTGCTCCGTTGACGGGAGAGCCGGGCCCGCTTCGTGTGTGACTTGGGGGCGGTGCAGAGGAGAACGCGCACGGGGAGAGCAAGAGACGGTCCATGTGGGAAGACTGTGTGACATACAGGAGCTGGTAACAGGGAAGCGAGCATATGATCGGGCCGCATGCCTAGGAAACGGGGGGACGTGCTTGTGTGAGGCTTGCTTGGCACAGGGAAGGGCCACGCGGAGAGCGGCCAAACCCCAAGAAGCGCTCAGCGCTCTTCAAGTGGCGTTGAATGAACTCACACTGGACTGGCCCATTCACGTTAGCATTCGCTGGCCAGCGATTGGCTGACGTGTCACGTCACTGGTGCGGGGGCCAGTGCTCGTGGCGAATGCACATAGGGCTGTTCCGGCGGTGAGCGCGCCTACCCCAGGCAACGTAGCGCTCACGTCTGCTGCTTTAAATCTGTTTAAATTTAAATAGACTTTAAATCTATCCGTACTTAGTGAAGTAAACTCCATTCACTGACCCCTTCGTGGAGGTAAAAAAAGAAAAAAAAAGGAATAGTGTTCTGTTACATTCATACTACGATTTTGGTTCAAGGTACCCGTACCTACGAAGATTTTTAAACCCACTTTAAGCCCTGGCTTGTTAGCCTGATTCGTTTAGGGTAGGGAGGGGCAACATATTGTTGTCTGAGACTTTCATCATCCCTTGCTATGGTGACGAAGAGAGGAGTAGCATGGAAGTAAATAGTGTGTATCAGAAAACGGCTTATTGACATTATGGATTAGTAGACAGGATTCCTAATATAACAAGGTATTCTAATGCAGATACAATCTCTAACCTACCCTCCTGTTACCAATTGCAGCACCCGAAAACACCCCAAAATTGGCCAGAGAAAGGCCCCAAAAGTAGTTGGCCAGAGGAAGGCCACATAGTAAAAACACCACAGTTATACTGTCCCAGAAGGGAGGGCAGATAAGAACAAAATGAACTTTGTGTAACCCACAGCTAACACGCTAGCCTGACCTCGAATACAGTAATCAAAGGGACAACTGCCATGAAAGTTGCAAATGTGCAGGGAGTAAGAACATGGCAAGCCTGTGTGAATCTAGAGCAGATAAGAAATAGACTTTGAGATCTGCGGGAGAGTCCCTTCTCCGGGAACCCTCCATGAAAGAAATTAGGAGAGTAAGTACTCGGAGGAGGGCTTTCTCTGCGGTGGCGCCCAACCTATGGAATTCTCTCCCCAAAGAGGTCC